TTACCATTCGGCATTGCTGTATAATATATCACTGGGTTTTGTAGTCCTCTAGAGCTGATGGTATTATTCTGCATTGCTGTATAATGTATTGCTGGGATTTGTAGTCCTCTATAGCCGGTTGCCACTCGGCATTGCCGTATAATGTATTGCTGGGATTTGTAGTCCTCTATAGCTGGTTGCTATTCGGCATTGCTGTATAATGTATTGCTGGGCTTTGTAGTCCTCTATAGCCAGTTACCATTCGGCATTGCTGTATAACAGATCACTGGGATTTGTAGTCCTCTATAGCTGGTTGCTATTCGGCATTGCAGTATAATGTATTGCTGGGTTTTGTAGTCCTCTAGAGCTGATGGTATTATTCTGCATTGCTGTATAATGTGTTGCTGGGATTTATTGTCTCTACAACGTGGAGTCAGTGGCAGCACTATCAGGAGCTCAGCACTTGCAGCTGCAACCAGGCCCTGGCACTCCACCACTGTCCTAAAATGATTAGTCTGTATAGTTTTAAGAAAACTGTCACATGACACTAACAGTATCGGTAATTGGTATCGGCGAGTACTTGAGGAAAAGTATCAGGACTCGTACTCAGTCTGGAAAAAATGCTGCATTCTTATATTTTACCCATACTTGGTCTTCTGTAAGCCCCTAGGCCCCGCCTCATCTTTCCTGAGTTGCCATGGCAACGTTAGGTGAACTCTTTATCCCAACCTGTCCATCTATCTCCCACCTTGACTACCTTTAGACGATCCCTTAAGACTCATCTCTTCAGGGAAACCTATCCCACCTCAACCTAACCGCTCAACCATCACGTTCTCAAACAATTCATCCCCGCGCAGCTCCCTCCTCATGTATCACTGGCCCCTCCTCTTTTAGATTGTAAGCCCTCAGGGGCGGGGCCCTCCTTACCATCTTGTCTTGAATTGTATTGTGATTGTAATGTCTTCCTTATATTGTAAAGTGCTGCGCAAACTGTTGGCGCTTTATAAATCCTGTATAATAATAATAAAATAATAATTGGGCTTTGGGGGTGCTAGGTGCAATTGGCTTTAGTGTTCCCATTGTATGTACAGTACAGAACCAGCAATAGGGAAAGTATCTCATTGCATAACATTGAGTTCTGAAATGAAATATAATGGAGGAACATTTCCAAATCACATCGGGATCTTTTTCCAGTAGAAATAAAAGTGCTTTTTTTTTTTTACATCAAAGTGACCAAAATAACAATTTTAAAAGCTAGATCTAGTGGAAATCGTTGCAATGTTCCAAAGCTCAAAAAGGTTTCTTCATCTGGCAGATTAAGAGGAAGAAGGAGCCTGTGAAGGCCGTGAAAGCTTGCAGTGGGCTTCACTATGGCTGGCTTTTCAAGTCCTCAACTTAAAGCAGACCTTGCAAGATAAAGTGATATCCAGTAAAGTCTGCGGCGCCCTCATCACCTTCTAAAAGTATTCTAGATTTTATCATAAAGGTCATGCTAAAAAGTTTGATTGTCAATTCCGTGCTTCCAACTGAGGCCCCATTCACACTGAGCGATTTATCGAGCGATTTTTGCAGCGATATCGCTCTATGTAGCTTCTCCAACCCATTTCAATGGAGCTGTTCACATCTCGTCGCTCAATATCGTTCAATATCGCTTGTAGCTCGTCGCTGTAGCTTGTCGCTCCGTGTAACATGTTTAGAGAATGCCAAAATGGTAATACAGAGGGTGTGCATAGGCATGCCAGACACCGTGTTTCCCCGAAAATAGGACACTGTCTTATATGTTGTGAAAAGCACTCCCCTCATAGTTCTCCTTTAAGCAGTGCCTTCAGGGGGACAGCAGCTGGTGAAGTATGGTACTGGAGTGCTCGCGATCACTTCGCTGGCCGGAGGGAGTCCCCTGTCATCCCCATAATACAGTATGTCCCTGCAGGCTGATACCATCTCTCCTGCTCTTCCAGTTCCCCCTCACATGCTACCACCAAACTAGGTCTTACTTTCGGGGTAGGTCTTATTTTCAGGGATACAGGGTAGGTATGGTATAGTCTGGCCAGGGAAGCCACCCTGACAAATAATACCCCCCTGACAAATAATACCCCCACCCCTCCAGATAACTGTCCCATTTATTAAATAAAAACAAGCTAAATGTCCCAAAACCTTAAATATGTGATCATTTGACACATGGGGTGTTCTTGCTTCTTCACCAGTAAGAGCGGAAGGATCCTTCTTCAAGTGTATGGTCTGTTGGCCACAATTGACCACACATTCCGGTATATTAGTAGTATTTAGAGATAAAGTATATATATATATATATTAGGGATACCGGTTTTTCGGTATCGAGTACAGTTATTTTATTTTCTTACCGAATACCGATAGTCCCATTAAGGAAGCCGGTGTGGCATGTAATGACTCCCCACCCGGCTTCCTGATTAGCCGGGAAGCTGGCTCTAGCTCCACTCTCCCTCGTCACCAGGTGACGAGGAAGCTTGAAGCTGGCTTTCTAGCCAATCAAGAGCCTAGAGGGCTGGGTAATGACTCGCCGTCTGGCTTCCTGATACCGTAAATTCTGGTATCGTGAAAAGTTTCGGAGCGTTTGAGCCGGTACGAGTACTCGCCCAAATACTTGTGTTTGCACCAATACCGATACTAGAATAGGAATACAGATTGCCTTCCTGTCTCATCATCTCCATAACATAGTAGAGAGGTGCTCTGTAGCTCACAGAAAGAGAGCTGGGAACAATGTGACTGATAACAGTCAGCACAGGAAAAGAGCACAAGAAGTTATCAGCCCACAATATTTCTGGCAGGATCAACAGGAGTCATTTGCCAGTCTGATAAGATAGAGGAAGGGGTGGGTCCCTGCTCTGAGTCATTCAGCAGTCTTATAAGATAATGGAAGGGGTGTGTCCCTACTCTGAGTCATTCAGCAGTCTTATAAGATAATCGAAGGGGTATGACCGTCCTCTGAGTCCTTCCCCAGTCTTATAAGATAGTGGGAGGATTGTGTCCCTCCTGTGAGGCATTCACCAGTCTTATAAGAGAGTGAAAGGGGTGTGTCCCTACTCTGAGTCCTTCACCAGTCTTATAAGCTAGTGGAAGGAGTGTGTCCCTCCTCTTAGTCCTTCGCCAGTCTTATAAGATAGTGGAAGGGGTGTGTCCCAACTCTGAGTCCTTCCCCAGTCTTATAAGATAGTGGAAGGGGGGTGTCCCTCCTCTGAGTCCTTCCCCAGTCTTATAAGATAGTGGGAGGAGTGTGTCCCTCCTGTGAGGCATTCACCAGTCTTATAAGATAGTGGAAGGGGTGTGTCCCCCCTCTGAGTCCTTCCCCAGTCTTATAAGATAGTGGAAGGGGTGGGTTCCTCCTCTGAGTCATTCTCCAGTCTGTGTAGCCTGATCTCCATGCCATGACGGTCTGCTTTTCCTGAAATATTCATACCTAGTATGTTTTATTCACCTAAATAAAATAATAATATCCTAATAAATAATCAGAGACGGAAACTTCCTGTCGCGTCTGCACATTTCTGCTTCCCCCATGCTGGAGATATTCTGTAACACCTGAAGTGATACAATGTAACAGAACGAGGTGTCTCTCCGTCCCTGACCCCTCTCCCTCACCCCCGCCCTTCATCTTGGCTTTGCCGAGCCTCCATTAACGCCAAGCGCTGGAGGGGCTCTCGCAGGACTCCACCACTTGTCATCCCGGTTTAATAGGCTTCTCCAGGCTGTCTGCTAATGCAATCCATCCCAGGCTGATACCACGTCTACTGCGCGACATGTCAGCACAGGCTCCGCTACCCATTTATTCCCACCGTGCGGCGGCGGCTGCTCGGGGGCTGCTGATGGGCTGTTAGTGTATAACAGACTGGAGAGCCATCAATTCCTTAAAGCGTCGTGTCGCCGAGTATACCGGCGGCATCCGTCTCCCCTTCGCTGCACAAATTGATAAAAATGGCGCTTCACCGCGAACGCAGCTTTATCTTATCCCAGGAAATGACCGGCGTCTCAGCTGTCCCTCCGTATTATTGTCTATCACGGTGGGAAAGCAGCATCATGGGACAGGGAAGGTTTCGGGGGGGGCTAAAAATAGCATGAGGAGACCTAACGGAATTCTGCTGTCACTGTGAGATACGCTCTGGTACTCTCAGCACTGAGGGGTTTAGTCCTGCCTGAAATTTTAATGCTGTACTCCAGGTAAACAGCTGAATGTACAGTGGAAATCAGAGGCATAACTAGAAACCTCAGGGCCCTGCTGCATGAGGTTTCTAGGGCCCCAGTGCCTTGGTGATTACCAGGGTAGTGCATGTGTGTAGTCCCAGAAGGCAATGTTGGCGCCTCGGAGGTTACCCTGGTAGGGCATGTGTGTAGTTCCCGAAGGCAATGTTGGCGCCTTGGAGGTTACCGGGGTAGTGCATGTGTGTAGTTCCAGAAGGCAATGTTGGTGCCTTGGAGGTTACCGGGGTAGTGCATGTGTGTAGTTCCAGAAGGCAATGTTGGCGCCTTGGAGGTCACCTGAGTAGTACATGTGTGTAGTTACAGAAGGCAATGTTGGCATCTTTGGAGGTTACCTAAGTAGTGCATGTGTGTAGTCCCGAGATGACATGTAAACGAAGAATCGGCTGCCTCACTCTACATTTAGTCCTGCTTGTACAAAGCAGAACTAAATGTAGAGAGGGCAACTTACCGCCCGACGGCCGGAACTTCCCCACAAGGACACTGCTGCCGCCCTCTGCGCCAATGCCGCCCGAGACCAGGCCTCGGTGGCCTTGTGGGAAATCCGGGCCTGCCTTTAACGTGCAAAAGAGGAAGGGGGCTGTGCCAGGGAATTGATTCTTCCTGGAGTAGTCAAAGTTCAAAGGTACATTCAAAGTATACAAAAAGGCATTGTAAAAAAAACCCACTGCAAGTCAGCATTTAAAGTCATTGATTTTTCTGTGCTGCTACCAGCATTTTTGATGTTGGTGACAGGTTCTCTTTAAGGTTTCCCTGACTGCTCACTAATCTTATGTCTATCTTTTGGCCTGCAGGAGGATGGGCGTGTTGATGTCCAAGAGGCAGACGGTGGAGCAGGTTCAGAAGGTCAGCATAGCAGTGTCTGCGTTCAAAGACGGGCTGAAGGACCGGCCGCCCAGCAAGAGGAAGTCCGAGGGCTGCATCCGGAAAGGGAGCAAAGCAGATGTTCTGGACAAGGTCCTAGAAGAGGAGAAGGATGGAGCTGACTCAGATAGCGACTCCCCGTGCCAGTCCCAGCCTTGGCAGGACAACCCCATCAACCGAGTAGCCTGGGAGAGACTGCGAGATGGCAAAGGAGTAGAACCCGAGGAGTTCGATAAAACCAAACGTTTCACCCCACCGGCCTTCATCAGACCTACTCGGGCTTTGAATGACGATGATCCTCCGGAGATCAGCCTGGAGCAGCGAGAGGAGGTGAGGAGAACTGGGAACCAGGGGCGGATCCAGAGTCTATTCTCGGGAGGGGCACTGCCAGAAAATTAAGTTTTGCTTACAGAACGGTTAATATTTTATTTAAGACGGTTTCCCGGCCAACCACAATTAAGCCGGCCAAACATGCAGCCGGCTTCCCTGGCAATCAGGAAGCCGGTTGGCATGTCATTACCCGCTGCCGGCTTCCTGATTACCCGGGAAGCCTGCTCCATGCCAGTGGAAGCACCGGTATTGGTATTCAGTATCGGCGAGTACCAAAAGCAAAATATCGGTACTCTTACTTGATACCGAAAAACCGGCATTGGTGGATCCCAAGTTTTGATGAAAACTATTTTTTTGTATTGGGATGAGTAGATTGTCATGAAGGGCAAGTAGATTCGGCCCCCGCTTTAGCCCTTGGGCAAGTCGTTTTTAAAAAAAAGTTTCCTCACCCCTGATTACACAACAATGCAGAATACCATCAGCTATAGAGGACTACAAATCCCAGCAATAATACATTATACCGCGCAATGCAGACTGCCAACAGCTATAGAGAACTACGATTCCCAGCAATACCATTATACAGCAATGCAGAATAGCATCAGCAATAGAGGACTACAAAGCCCAGCAATACATTATACAGCAATGCAGAATAATATGAAGCTCTGGGTTCTCCGCCTGATGTCTCCAGGGTCTCAGGAGGGTTGTGCAGGCTCTCAACAGGGGTCCAGAGAGTTTCACAGGTGCGTGTGGGTGCAGCAGAGGCGGCTCCCTAATTAGGCTCTCAGTGGCCAATGCAGACTGTCAGGTGATCAGTGCAGGCTCTCTGCTGGTCAGTGCGGGATCCATAATAATTAGTGGTGGCTCTGTGGGAGCTCCCTGGTGATTAGTGGGGGCTCTGTGGTGGCCAGTGGAGGCTCCCTGGTGGCTAGTGTGGGCTCCCTAGTGTAGGCTGACCATTCATCCCTGATTTCTGGGGACAGTCCCCAGATTTGGGATACCATCCCCTGACAAATGATGTCCCCGGAAATATAATGACCGAGTGCCCGACTTTTTAAAGGGGGTGACACCAAAATGACTGTCAATCATTTTGGTGTCACCCCTGCAATGGTGGAAAGGATGCACACCGGCACTCCAAAGCAAGTTCAGTACGTGTTTATTAACTTACTAGTTGCAAGTAGAACACTTTAAACAACGTTTCAGGGTCTCATCAGGCAAACAAGTCTGCAATGGTGTCACCCGGGTGTGGGCCGCACCCCCCTTCGTGACACCACTGGCTAGCAGTAAGGCAAGATTGGTGTGAATTTCCCACATATCCTGTCTCTCTATCATGTAAATATTAGATATTAGAGTAGCCAATACTAGAGTAGCCAATACTAGAGTAGCCAATACTAGAGTAGCCAATACTAGAGTAGTCTATATAAGAGTAGCATATACTAGAGTAGTCCATATTAGAGTAGCCAATACTAGAGTAGCCAGTACTAGAGTAGTCTATATTAGAGTAGCCAATACTAGAGTAGCCAATACTAGAGTAGCCAATACTAGAGTAGCATATACTAGAGTAGTCTATATTAGAGTAGCCTATATTAGAGTAGCCAATACTAGAGTAGCCAATACTAGAGTAGCCTATACTAGAGTAGCCTATACTAGAGTAGCCTATACTAGAGTAGCCTATACTAGAGTAGCCTATCCTAGAGTAGCCTATACTAGAGTAGCCAATATTAGAGTAGCCAATACTAGAGTAGCCTATACTAGAATAGCCTATACTAGAGTAGCCTATACTAGAGTAGTATATACTAGAGTAGCCTATACCAGAGTAGCCTATACTAGAGTAGCCTATACTAAAGTAGCCTATACTAGAGTAGCCAATACTAGAGTAGCCAATACTAGAGTAGCCTATCCTAGAGTAGCCTATACTAGAGTAGCCAATATTAGAGTAGCCAATACTAGAGTAGCCTATACTAGAATAGCCTATACTAGAGTAGCCTATACTAGAGTAGCCTATACTAGAGTAGCCTATACTAGAATAGCCGATACTAGAATAGCCTATACTATAGTAGCCTATACTAGAGGAGCCTATCCTAGAGTAGCCTATACTAGAATAGTCTGTACTAGAGTAGCCGATACTAAAGTAGTCTATACTAGAGTAGCAAATACTATAGTAGCCTATACTAGAGTAGTCTATACTAGAGTAGCCTATACTAGAGTAGCCAATACTAGCGTAGTCTATACTAGAGTAGCCTATACTAGAGTAGCCTGTACTAGAGCACACTATACTAGAGTAGCCAATACTAGAGTAGCCTGTACTAGAGTAGCCAATATTAGAGTAGCCTGTACTAGAGTAACCTATACTAGAGTAGCCTGTACTAGAGTAGCCTATACTAGAGTAGCCAATACTAGAGCACACTATACTAGAGTAGCCAATACTAGAGCACACTATACTAGAGTAGCTGATACTGGAGTAGCCTATACTAGAGTAGACTGTAGTGAAGTCATCTATATAGAGTGGGCTATGCTAGAGTAGTTTATACTAGAGTACACAATACTAGAGTAGCCTATACCAGAGCAGGCTATACTAGATGAGCTTATACTAAAGTAGACTATACTAGAGCACCCTATAGTAGGGAAGTCTGTACTAGAGTAGTCTGTACTCATGCAGCATGCTCGTGTGGAAGCAGCGGTCTCTTTGGAGAGGTCTGACATCCTTCCTACTCATTCAGAGCTATTAGCTGAAGGGTCAGGTTTTGCCCGAAAATCAAACATGCCAGGTTCGAGTTGAACCTGAGCCCAAAGCTCATCACTAGTGCTGAATGCATAAAAGCTGACAAAAAAACATGCTCACAGGAGTAGAGAGCAGTGACATATCCTCATCTGTCTGCTGCTGCTCCTTTACTGCCCAGTCATAGGCCAGGGGAAGGGCAGGTGGCCCAGCTGCATAGCTTAACTGCAGTAGAGAAGTCAGGTCACCGACAGGGCTGTGATTTCTGGCAGGGCTGTTAAAATCTCAGGACTGAATGGAGAAATACAAATTATTCGTCAGGTTGAACAGATTCAGATCGGCAGGTAGAACATATCTGTGTAGTTACCAGTTGGCCTGGAGTTCATTTGTAATATTGAACAATCTGTCCTCAGATATCGAGCTGAAAGACTGCGTTTCATTCTGACGTTTTGGGCTCCCGCTAACTCTATTTAATGGCACGCCGAAATGCGTAATTATACATATTTTTTTTATTGTTTGTTCTTACAACGTTTCTCTCTGGCTGTAGAAAGTCATTTCACGTCGCTCATGCTCGGCTGGGATAGAGCGGCGCTCGGTACATAATTCATGGCTGTGCCGGCTACTTCCAAAGACCTCATCCATAACTCAGCACTTAGCGGCTGGAGACGGCACCGATCAATGCAATAACAATTTGTATCAGAAACCCGAAAGCTCAATATTCCATCTTAACAGTTCGCAGCCCGTAGCTCAACAAATGACATTCGATTAGTCAAACATTCCAGGTAGCTGGCCGTTAACCCCTTCCTGGATGGGACATCATATCGCTGTAGCAGTGACTGGTCTTTATTACAGGTAACACCAAGTCTCACACTGGGCAGGTCTGGAAGAAATACACACAGCTCATCAAGATTCAGGAAGAATGCCCATGACTCTTGTATGAGGACAATGTTTACTCATCTTGAAGTTCAGCTCAAAAAAGACCCTGTCAAAAAAAAAGCCATTCATGTAAAGTGTTAATAGTGACCCTTCTCATTTAGCCCGTGCTACTGCTACCCAGCTACAAAAATCTTCTGCATCTGACACTTCTTGGAGTGCTGAGTGTCTATGAGGGGAGGCCAATAAGTTCTTACCCTCACCATGATGTAGATGTGCTAGGGATCTGACATTTTGCAGTTCCATAGGTGGATATCTTAGTAACAGGCATGCCATTTTTTTAGGTCATGGTAAATTATAGTTAGAGCCAAGAGAAATGGAGTAAGTGTCATGACCGGACAAAGTTCAATACCGAGCCGTGATTAGGTTGCTCCATCTTCAAGGGAAATGTGCCCATAAAATCCATGAAGAGATGTCCGCTGTGTATGGAGAGGATTGTCCATCATATGAGACTGTCAAACGATAGAAGAGAGAATTCAAGTGCGGTCGCACAAATATACAGGATGACCCAAGGGAAGGTCGTCCGTCAACTGCCACGGAACCAAGTGCGGTGGCGAAAGTTGAGCTCGGTATTCAACTTTGTCCAGCATGACACCTACTCCATTTCTCTTGGCTCTAACTATAATTCCCCATGACCTATAAACACAAAAATTGGCGGCATGCATATTACTAAGATATCCACCTATAAACCTGCAAAGTTTCAGATCCCTAGCACATCTAGATCATGCCAAGGGTAAGAACTTATTGGCCTCCCCTCGTACATCCTCCACTATGCTCAATTGTTCCTCCTGAGTCCTGTAGTTGCATAGGGGCTGGTGGCTGGTTGAAGGAACCATGGTACTCATCATAGGCATTCAACACTCCTGAAAGTGTAGAATGCTGTCGACTTTCCCTGAGGCTTTACTGCCTGAAAACAGCAGAGTTTTAGACCTTCCACCCACCACACGTAGGTATTCAGCGTCATCTATTGCAGGAGCAATGCTTTGGATTTTTTTGGGGGGGCGCAACAGTGTCGTTTACAGCCCCCTTCAAAACCCATCAGCATATACTTTCCTTTTCTTTGCTCTTCTGTGCTTCCATTTGGCACTGGGAGTTGAAAAGAAATACCCAGTACTTCCATCTATGAAGGAGCAGGTGAATCAGCCTTGTGCCAACATTTGGCCAATCAGCTCTGTTACATGAGTTTGTATGTTCCCCCAAAGTTCTCTCTGCAGGAGTTTACATGTTCCCTTCAAGGGTCTCTCTGCAGGAGTGTGTATGTTCCCTCAAGGCTCTCTCTGCAGGAGTTTGTATGTTCCCCAAGGCTTTCTCTGCAGGAGTTCGTATGTTCCCCAAGGCTTTCTCTGCAGGAGTTTGTATGTTCCCCAAGGCTTTCTCTGCAGGAGTTTTTCTGTTTCCCAAGGCTCTCTGCATGAGTTTGTATGTTCCCTTCAAGGGTCTCTCTGCAGGAGTTTGCATGTTCCCTCAAGGCTCTCTCTGCGGGAGTTTGTATGTTCCCTTCAAGGCCCTCTGCAGGAGTTTGTATGTTCCCTTCAAGGCTCTCTCTGCAGGAGTTTGGATGTTCCCTCAAGGATCTCTCTGCAGGAGTTTGGATGTTCCCTCAAGGGTCTCTCTGCAGGAGTTTGCATGTTCCCTTCAAGGGTCTATCTGCAGGACTTTGCATGTTCCCTCAAGGCTCTATCTGCAGGAGTTTGGATGTTCCCTCAAGGGTCTCTCTGCAGGAGTTTGCATGTTCCCTTCAAGGCTCTCCCTGCAGGAGTTTGTATGTTCCCTTCAAGACTCTCTCTGCAGAAGTTTGTATGTTCCCTTCAAGGGTCTCTCTGCAGGAGTTTGTATGTTCCCTTCAAGACTCTCTCTGCAGGAGTTTGTATGTTCCCTTCAAGACTCTCCCTGCAGGAGTTTGTATGTTCCCTTCAAGACTCTCCCTGCAGGAGTTTGTATGTTCCCTTCAAGACTCTCTCTGCAGGAGTTTGTATGTTCCCTTCAAGGGTCTCTCTGTTGTGATGACATGACACCTCTGTTACGCTTTCCTCGAAGAGCAAGTACACAGACAACATGGAGTAAATCTCATCACTGGACTCTTTCGCTATTATAAGAATTTCGGCCATGTTTCAATGCACAGATGCCTCCCTAAAACACAAAGACCAGTTTTACGTGAACATGATATATTGCTGTACAATGAATATGACACTATATTTTTTTTTTTCATAGATCTCCAACGATGAGATGTGTGAGATTTGTGAAGTGTGGACCGCCGAAAGTCTCTATCCATGCCGGATCTGTTCTCGGGTCTTCCATGATGGTTGTCTGCGCCGGATGGGCTACCTGCAGAATGACAATGCACTTGAGGTCACGGAAATGGCGCATACAGAGACAGGATGGAGCTGTTACTATTGTGTAAGTAGATCTTTATTTTCTATGTTTCACATAGCGCACATAGCGCACCATCCGGACTTTGATCTGGCATTATGTGGTTTGCTTTTGAAGGTTTTTAGGCTGTAAATAGAAAAGGGTAAACAGACTAATCTGTACGTTTCGCCTGCTGACAGAAAAACACAAAGGACATCATTATGGAATTTTGAAAGCCCCTTGATTTCTGCTGGTTGGATGAAACTTTGATGGATTTTGGTGAATTTGTTAAATTGCTTCCTAGATACGGTTTCTTTCTATAAGACAGACCCGGAGAGACAGAGCGGAGGGGCTACATGACTGGGGGGAGGAATAGTCCCGGGAGAAAGAGTTAAAAATAAAATGGGAATAGCTGCTCTTACCTGATTGGACGTGGGGGTCAGGTGTCAGGGAGGAGCCGCATGGGAAGGATCTGCAAGGGCTGAGGGACGTCCTTTTCTGGAAATCGACAAAGGAAGCAGGTTGTCCCACCCTCCCTCCCTGGATTTTGTAGTTATGGGGTTTGTGGGGTTCTTTTGTCACGGCAGCTTGGCGGGTTAGGGGGTCTTTGGGGGGTCTACAAAATCGGAGTTGATTACAAAATGGGGGGCCATCAGCTGGTATGGGTGCTTCCCCCCTGTTGGTGTCTGGATTTGTCAAGGGCGGGGGCCTGGCCCCTTGGGAACATTGAAGTAGTAAGTGTCCTCGAGCTGGTTGTGGTGCGGCTGGGGACATGGGTGGAGTGTTAGGAGAGGCCTTTTTGGGCTGTTGGGCACCAAAAGACCCTTCTCACGTCAACAATTGTTTACAGTATTATTTGTGGTCAAAGCCCCACTGATACGTACCCAGGAATCGAGATGATGGACCTGCCTACAATGACCTGAGGTGTGCCGTGGTCACTATGGTCAGTATGCAAAATATGGGGGCATACTCAAGAGTAAAAGGTAACTGAAAAAGGGGGTGAGGTGGGTGGGATGATGCCCACGAGCCGACAGGTGAGAGTGGGAGACGGAGCAGTTTAAATGTGTGGGGCTCCTCCCACAAATCCGGCTAATTAGCCTACCACTTGTGTATATTATTTGGTTTATTACTTTTGGTTATTGTTAAAGTTGTTTGGTTTAATAAAAGGGCTGCTGTGGCCGGTGAAATCCATGTTGCGCAGTCCGTGTGTTTATTGGGGTTTTAAAGGAGGGAAAATTGACGAATCCATCAGTGAAGTAGGTGATACTATAATATCAACAAGACTCTACGATTTCTCATACCTAATCTTTCAGCTAAAAAGTGAAAAGTTCCGTCATAGAGGCACTTTAGGCCTTCATGGAGTAAAGAGAGGCTTATTTGTGGCCCCTGACATAAACGTGGGGCCACACAGTATATGTAATGCTACAGAAGACTGTCACAGACTGTGGACATCCTTTGGGAGATGGTCAGAGACTGTAGATGTCATTCAGTTGATGGTTTGAGACTGTGGACTTCCTTCAGAAAATGGTCAGAGACTGTGGATGTGCTGCAGGGGTGGGTGAAGATTGAAGTCATGCTGCAGGAGACAAAGACTATATACACATTAAATGACACTGCTAGAGATCCCTGCCAATACAACCCCTATACAAACCAGTGATCCCCCTCCCAGCACTGACTGCTGGGGTGCGAAAACAGCACAACAAGTACCAATGGGCCACATGGGGTCCTGAAGCCACAGGTTGAGCATGAAGGTTTTAGGCTAGTATACACATTATTATATATAATTTGAGATGCATTTGCCACGTGTCCATGGGTATACGTATATCATATTTTCTCTTTCTCATATGTATTTAGCTTATTCAAAGAATATGATGCAGGAGGATACCAGAATATTTGCAACATTGCACTGAATAAATGTAATTCATACAAAATCTCTGGGGCCTATTTATGAAAAATTCGACCGGCTATTCACACAATGAAATATTTATGACCACAGTGATATTCCACTCACTCATCGGTTTGTGTCTACAATCACTGTATATATTTTGTGACGTTTGCTGGGCAGATTATTGCAAAATCCAATGCCGCCAAATTAAATATCATTAGACCGTCTCACGGTAGATGTTATATTTGGGTTTTCTGGATACATTCGGGGGTGCGTTGCCCGAAAATTCTTTGCTGAATAGACCCCGATGTGGTATAAGTGTATGGATGGAACAGAAATCCCATATGTATAGACAGTTCAAGGCCAGGTAAATAAAGCTTGGAAGTGTGCTCATACGCAAGATACGAGTCTTCGGACTATTGCAACCATAAGTTTGAGAGGCAGAAGTAGATCGAATCAAAGATGTCTGCTGTGAGGCCAGCCGCAGCTCTGAAAAGTAACCGTAGTACGCCCAGGGGTGTATCTACTGCAAGGCAAACTAGGCATTTGCCTAGGGCGGCACTTTCCAGGGGGCCACCAAAAAATGCTGCCCCCAAACCAGTTCATAATTCATAAATTACTGCCAGTACTCCTGGACCTGGTGCTTCTTTGACTGGGGGATCAACATGTCCACCTATGCCGCCTACTCCTACATGTATGCTGCAGCTCCTTCCTCTTCCTGGTCAATGTGCTGTGCAATGTATTGATGTGTGTGACCTTCGTCCAGATGCACTGGCAGTTCGGACCTCCATGGGAAACCGGCACCCCCATTTCTGACTTCAGGAAGCGGAGAAGCTTCCGCAGGATCCCCAGGGGTGAGATCCAGATGTTCATCATGCTCATCGACACCTCCGTGGTGGTGAGTCCAGGGAAGTGCAGCCTATAAACTCCATTCAGGGTTATGTCTCTAGAGCGGGGCGAGATACAGAGCCCAGCGGCCAAGGCAGAATTAGAGGGCTCAGCATATTAAGGCAGAAGATCGGTGCTGCAGCTGCAGAACTAGGGAGCCAATCAAGGAATAGAGAAGGCGGCTATTGCAAAGGTAGAACTAGAGCGTCCCGCTACGTTGATAGCGCAACCAGTTGGAATCTAGATACACCGTGCCCGCTGTATCCTGCAACTGACAGGTTATGCAAAATGTCTTAAACAGGAAGGGGTGGGACTAGTTTAGATTAGGGATGGGGGGGGTGCTCGGGTTTAGTCTTGCCTAGGGCAGCACAAAACCAAGATACACCACGGAGTACGCCCATAGCTCATATCACTCCAAACACATTGCATACGTGTGCAATTTTTACAATGTACATAGATTTTTGTGAAAAGATATACAATCACTGTGTCAAGATACCGTACACGGGTGTCCCCACATCGCGTACAGGTATCTATACGGGAGGACCAAATGTGTGACCACACCAGACAATGCTTATGAGCACACAGTTTATTCAACACACTGAAAGCAAGTAACCACAAGCAACTAATAATAGCCAACTAAAATGGAAAACAACATAATCACACACAAAAGTTAACAGGGCAAGTGAACTTGGGGAGCAAGGCAACACGAGGAGAGCCACGGACCAATGGTCAGGGTACAAGGAGGCACCAGGATGCAGGAAACAGGTCGCAGGTAATGGCGACAATACTGTGGCACCGGGCTCACTGCAGGGAGGGATTAAATACCCTCCCAGGTCATCAGCAGGTGGTGCCTAATTGCTGACACCTGCAGGTGAACCCTGGAAGTGCAGGACCTGGTTCCAGAGTCACAGTGCCACCTGGAGGCGCTCAGGTCCTTGACAGCCCTTGCCTGCCTGGAGACACCTGCAAGGGAACACTGGAACTGCCGGATCTCCTGCAGCGCCACCCGGAGGTGTCCAGATGCCTGACACACAGCCTATTTTTATTTATATCGATTTGAGATTCTACAACATGTGTTAAGGTGAGTGCTGAGGAATGCAACCTTGCACGGAATCCATAATCAGTAGTGTGGTATAGACACGTGTCCACTAAGGTACCCCGCCATGTTAGTCTCACTCCTGCATACATTCTGGTTTCCTGTTTGTTCCAGTATTCCAAAATCATAACTCATCTAAGAGGAGCCCATTATAATGGGTTACATTTACAGATTATACATAACAAGCTGCAGAGATTTAGGCCTGTACAAAGTTGGTCAGTAAACTGTCCAGTTTTGCCAAAATTTTCGCTTCCTTGGGGATGGCCAAATGTCTAGCTGTAGAGCCCCTAAGATGTTATTACTGTAACTTGGAAGGTTGGTGATTTTCTTGTCAGTCAAGGGAGGGAGCTGGGACTTGTAAGGAGTTTACGTGAGGTCAAGTTGAGTCACATGTGAGTTAGTAGTGGGAATATTGAGAGTCAGAGTAGTCCGGTGTTTTGTGTTCCGGAACTAGGAAGAATTGCAGAGATGTGACTGAGGGTGAGAATTTGTTCTTCTTGGGGAAAATGGCTGTTATCTGTGTTCCCCCGAAAGACGTTGATTGCCACTTCTAATGAATGGAAATTTGGGAGACAGAGAGTTTCTTAGAGCTGGCAGCACTCTGGAGCGGGTTGTGCGGTTGTGAACGCACCTGGAAAACATTTGGCCTGAGATTTTTGTGAAAATACCTAACCAAGCTTGAGTCATCATGAAATCTTCACTTGAACCTTAACCTTGTTGTTCTCACTGTAGCGCTCACCCCCAAAGGAGCTGCTGGAATAACCCGGGTCATCACTAGTTGCTAAGGGATTTGGTCTTCAGCTGCCCCCATTAGCATTTAACCGGCCTCTTCTACTGCCCCCAAGCTGATACACCACTCCAGTAATGCAATGCTGACAAACTTTTATTAACATCTTCATGCTGGGGAGAGAGAGGGTATAGGGGGTATAGACATCCAGGGTGTAAGAGACATAGACTCCAGGCTTTTAAGCATCTCAGTGTAGATCCACTTGTGGTACAGGGAATAGTAATTGAAGTAACAGATGAGCAGGGATGGACATAAATCCTCAGCAGGAGAGATGCCAGACATGCCCCTGAAGTCCTCTAAGTTCCAGGTACCTTCAAGAGCCATCTGTTTTCCTGGTTCTCCTCCTCTGGCAACAGCACAGGCCTCCTCCATAATAAAGGCCCAGGAAAACACTTCCCGCACTCCAGCCTCTGTCCACCCTCAGGCCTCAGGCTTATCCTGGGGGGTGGCTGGACAGCACCCAGCCCTGTGCAAATCCATGGTTGGTCCCAACTAGTCTAAGCACATGGCAACTCCCACCAGTATCTGTACCCTATCCCAGCATGCACCACTGGTTGAGTGAAACTCAGTGATTGGCTGCTGTCCTGTACATACACTCACAGTGCCTCCTCTCATTGGCTGTCCCACAATACAGCAGAGTCACACTCCACCCAGGTGGGCACAGTCAATGCCAGGCACCTGGATCTAACCAGATAAATGCCTCTATAACCCAACCAGGCTGACTACAGCCCTGGCAATCACTAAATGTCTAGTAGCCACATCACAGAAGGTGGTGGGGGCTACATCACCAATTATTGTATTTTAGTAAAGTTTATTTATTTACTGCAATCATACCTGTCTGGACATTCTTACACTACTACAGTCTACTGGCAACTGCTGGGTCACGCTGGAGGACCCTGTTTGGAGACTTGAGGCTTATTTTGGCGAGCTCTACTCTGTTTCCATTGGAGAGTCCTGAAGTGTTGGTTCGCACTCTCTCTGGGGTGCTGCCATGTTATGTGGATGAGGTGCCCTGTGTCTATGCATGACTTGAAGACAATAACCACTTTGTGTACTGCTGGACTTGGGGTGGAGGTGAATCCCCTGTGTCTGTCCAAAGTTACAGAGTAGAAAGGTCTTCAACCCCGTTGAACTGTGGAAAGGCAATGTGGTGACCATTTTACATAGCTAACCACATATCGGTTTTAAGATTGACTGTATATTTGCTACAATTGTCCCTTTATCAATCCTCCGCCAACCAGTATAGTCCACATGGACAGACACTCGCATTCCTCCTTGATTCAGCGTTCTTCTCTGTGGGCCCTGTCCAGTGCTGCATGGCCTTTCCTGCAAAAGTACCCCCAGTGGGTCCTCCTCCAACTGCGACCCCATTCATTTCTATGAGCAAACAGGAGTAGCATAGGAATGGGTCTGTGAAGAGGATGAAAAGGTGCAGTTGTCCTGTAAGTATTGGGAGGTACCTGCATCCGTTATTTCCACAGCACTCATTGCTCACCTGCATACTGTATAGGTACATGGTTCTGGTGAGCAATCGAGCACCAGCTGTTGTGTCTGTGGAAGGGATCGAACCCTGGCTCATGAAAGGGAAAAAATACAAAGATTACAGGGCTGTGTAGTGGAGGTAGTAAGTGTCTCTAGCACTTTCTCAGCTTGTGTTAGTGTACACTGTAGCGCTCACCCCCGAAAGAGCCGCTTGATATGAACTTGGGCTCTCCTACCTGTTTTGCCAGCCACCGGCCCCTTTCTCAGCTTCAACAACACCGACACTCCGGAACAGAACAGGCTTGAGTCGTCTTTTTAGCATTTATTTGCACATCAGCAACTGGAGAGAGGGTTTGGGATTGCAGGATACCCGAGTAACAATTCAGAGGACTCTGTATTCTCCCTTAGCAACGGCTTGTATTAGTAGTACAACGGTCCTGTAAGAGCGACCAGTAATATGAAGTAGCACAGAGAACAGCCAGGAATCATCCAGGACTTTGAAGGAGAACTGCCACAGGACTTGTAGTGCACCAACTGGCTGCTCTTCAGTAAAGTACCTGAGAATAGGGTGATGGATCTCTTACAGGGTTCTAGACGGTAGCTCTCACCAGCTCCTCTGAGACACTCCTCAATAAGCAGATTCCACCTCCAGCCCGGCTTCCATCAGGTTTCCTTTCCAGTAGCATCTAAGGTCTCTGGGCCCCCAGCATCTGCCACACACTGAGGCTCAGACCAGGCATCCAGTAGTATCTTAAGCCTCTATGCCCCCAGCATCTGCCACACGCTGAGGCTCAGACCAGGCATCCAGTAGTATCTTAGGCCTCTAGGCCCCCAGCATCTGACACATGCTGAGGCTCAGACCAGGCATCCAGTAGTATCTTAGGCCTCAAGGCCCCCAGCATCTGCCACACGCTGAGGCTAAGACCAGGCATCCAGTAGTATCTTAGGCCTCTAGGCCCCCAGCATCTGTCACATGCTGAGGCTCAGACCAGGCATCCAGTAGTATCTTAGGCCTCAAGGCCCCCAGCATCTGCCACACGCTGAGGCTAAGACCAGGCATCCAGTAGTATCTTAGGCCTCTAGGAGCCCAGCATCTGCCACATGCTGAGGCTCAGACCAGGCATCCAGTAGTATCTTAGGCCTCTAGGAGCCCAGCATCTGCCACATGCTGAGTCTCAGACCAGGCATCCAGTAGTATCTTAGGCCTCTTGGCCCCCAGCATCTGCCACATGCTGAGGCCTAGGCCAGGCATCCAGTAGTATCTTAGGCCTCTTGGACCCCAGCATCTGCCACATGCTGAGACTCAGACCAGGCATCCAGTAATATCTTAGGCCTCTAGGCCCCCAGCATCTGCCACACGCTGAGGCTTAGATCAGGCATCCAGTAGTATCTTAGGCCTCAAGGCCCCCAGCAGCTGCCACACGCTGAGGCCCAGGTCAGGCATCCAGTAGAATCTTAGGCCCCTAGGCCCCCAGCACCTGCCACATGCTGAGGCTCAGACCAGGCATCCAGTAGTATCTTAGGCCTCTAGGCCCCCAGCATCTGCCACACGCTGAGGCTTAGATCAGGCATCCAGTAGTATCTTAGGCCTCTAGGCCCCCAGCATCTGCCACATGCTGAGGTCTAGGCCAGGCATCTTGTATCACATAGACCTTCTCCCAGGGATGGCCCTTTTATCCCCTGCCTTCATCCACACCTCTGAGTCATCATGCTCAGGGATTGGTCACAGTCAGGTGCATAGTCACGGTCTGCGGATGGATCCCCCCTCACTGTATGCTGAGTCCTCAACCCAGCAACAGGGGGAAGCAATCAATCCACCAAACTCAGGGAATCCAGCAGAACTCAGAGCAAATAGCATCCAGACTGATTGCAGTCCAGATATACACTAAATTTAGTAGCGACGTAGCAGAGGGCGCTACAACACAAAACTCTGGGAGCTGCAAAGCTTTCTCCTGCACCTCCACTTTTTCAGATTCCAAGATTTCTCTTCTGTGACCTGAGAAAGACTTTCCCTTTATGTATTGCATAGAGGAGGTATTTGTAGTCCAAATCAGGAGATCAGTCTAGAGTGATGTCATTGGTTTAGGTTTAGCTACACCTAAATTCAGACTTTCCCATTGGCTCTAATGTATTTTGCTGGTGAATGGTGACATTTAAAGAAATCTCCCAATTTTCACAGAAATTACGGTGAAATGGAAACTCTTAGTTTGGCCCAACCCTGGATATAAACAATTTTTACAAATGTTTCCTCCACATTACATACAGAATAATGTCACCCCATAGACAGACTACTCCCCTAATCCAAGGTCTAGGCCCGCTCTCTAAACTTACTTAAAGGAGAACTATGAGGGGAGTGATTTTCCCTCATCCTCATAGTTCGAGCCGACCTGTGACAATGAGGCTGTCACAGGTCGGCTCAGTAGATCGGGCAGGTGAGCGAACACATACCGGCGCTCGCTCACTTCCCGATCATCTCCCTGCAGAGAGCGGTGACTGTCAGTCATCTCTCCTGGCAGGGATTGCCCCCCTCCGATCATCCAGCGTTGACTGAAGCAACAGACTGGGGAGGGGGCGGGCACAGCTGGCTCTGCCTCTAGATTGGCAGAGCCAGCTGTCACTCACGCAGCTGGGTGGATCTTGACAGCATTGTTGGGATCCGTCCCGGCTGTGGCGCTCTCAGTATATAGCGAGCAATAGCCCGCGATACACTGAGCTTTGGGTCACGGGAGAACGTTAGTATATGTCCTCCCGTGACCCTAAAGAGAACAATGGGATAAAAAGGTTACCCCATAGTTCTCTTTTAAGCCCAGTTTAGTCAGCGCTGGTGCGATTCAACTCGCTTTGCTAGCATTTTCGATGCATCAAACGCCTTCTTTCTGCTGTGTTGTCTTTGCTGGAGACCTGAGGTGCCTCTGATATTCCAAACCCTTCATCTTGCAAAACCGCCTTACTGCAAAGCGTTTTATGTATATGTTCTGGTTGCCCCGGCTCCCCTCCCGGCTGCCAGTAAGTTATTAATTATGCCCAATGATATAGAGCTGGAAGGAGGCACTTTTAGGTCAAACTCAGAGCAAAAAACACAAAGCTACAAGAAAGCCGAGTACCTCCTGAGACCCGATAGGATGAGTTTCACCCTCAAACACCCAATAAAAGAAAACAAGCAGAAAGAAACACACTGATCGGCCGCGCAACCGCCAGCAAGACCCGCACTCATCTTCTCACATCTCCCAATAAAGATAAAGCATTCTCTGTCTCTTTTTTTAGCTCACGACATCTGATGAGACGCGAGAGAGCGGAGCCACAGAACGCCTGCTGGGATTCCTCCCTGAATTCAGGTTCAGCAAGGGGCAGAGCGGGGTAATGTGCGCAGAGACCCAGAAATAAAATTCCGCCGAAGAAACCGCGTCTACACAGAACAGTCATATAAGTCTCTCAGCGGAGGATCATTCTATGATGTCTCTGAGAGCTGAATGGGAGCAATGAGACTAATTGTAACCACGAACACAAGGAAAATCTTATTTCTACTGTGAAGTCTTACCTAATGTTCTTTAAGGAAACATCTGAGGGTTTCCCTGTCTGTATGATTGCAAGTAAACGTCTGCGCTAATCTCCTATACTATTTAGCGGCCAGCTGAAATAGAACGATATACAGCCCGAGAGATCAACAGTATGTCAGACACTGCAATCTGTACTTCTGCTTAAAAACTGTCATGAGAAGAAAGGAGGGAGGCAGAAAGGAGGAAAAGGAAAAAGGGGGAGGGAGGGTGATGGAGGCAAGGGAAGGACACAAGGCAGGGCAGTAAAGGAAAGAGGGAGGGGGGAGGGAGGTGGAAGAAGAATGAAAAAGGATAGGAAAGAAAATGGAAAGGAAAGGAAAAAGGAAAGGAAAGAATAAAGGAAAGGAAAATGAAAATAAAGGAAAGGAAAATGAAAATAAAGGAAAGGAAAATGAAAATAAAGGAAAGGAGATGGGTGATGGAGAATAAAATGAATCAGGAAAGGAGAGAAAAAGGAAAGGAGAAAGAAAAGCAAAAGGAAGGGAAAAAGAAAAGAGAAGGAAAGGAAAATGGAGAGAAAAAAGAAAGGAAAGATATGGAAAAAAAGAAAGGAAAGGAGAAAGGAAAGGAAAATAAAAGAAAGTTAATGAACAGAAGTAAATAGAAAAGGAAAAGAAAGAAAATGAAAGAGGAAAGAAGAAGAAAAAGGAGGGGAAAGAGAAAAAGAAAGGAATGGAGAAGAAATAAAACAGAAAGAGAAAGGAAAGTAAAAGAAAGAAAAAAAAAGGAAAGGGAAAAGGAAGTGGAGAGGAAAATAGAGGAGAGGAAATGAAAGAAAAGGAAAAGCAAGGACAAAGCAAAATAAAGAGATATGAAAGGGAAATGAGAGAGGGAAGGAAAGAGCAACAAAAGTAAAAAGGAAAGGAGAGAGGAAAATAAAGGCAAGGATAGGAGAGGAGAGGAAAGAAAAAGGGAAAGGAAATAGGAAAGGAAAGGAAAAAGAAATGGAACGTAAAAGAAATGAGATTAGAAAGAGAAATAAATAAAAAAGGGAAGTAAAAGAAATAAAAACATGAAAGGTGAAATGAAATATAAGAACTGAACTTTAATGATAGGGCCTCAAATTATTTTGTATTTTGTGGAATCTTTCAGAACATGTTTAAAAATAAACTTCAAAGCGTACACCTGGGTATATATTAGACACTGCAATCTGTCCCCCTGCTGAACAATGCATGTAAGAGAGGAAGAAGCAGAGGAACAATGGGAAGGTAAGACAAGAAAAGAGGGAGCTAAAGGATTAAAAAGGAAAGAATGGAAAATGTGGTGGCAGGGGAAGAAGAAAGGGAAGGAAGGATTCTGTTGTCAGCCAATATTGTGTTCAATAAATGGAATAATGTGTGTGTGTGGGGGGGGGGGGGGCCCCCCCTGTTTATTTTTTTTTTAATTTTTTTCTAAATCATCAGTTTTTAAAGCTGTCCTGGCCATGAAGGGAGTTACGTTGATGCGTTTTTGTGCTTTTAAAATACATCAAATTCGGAGAGTGACGCTGTAAAATCTGCAGCGACAATACAGGCGTCCCTCCTTCCAAGAGTCACAGCTGCGCTCAGCCCCCCGCAGGGGGCCACAATGTAAGTAAAGGGAAATATTCTTTTAATTCTCAGCCTGGCTCTCCGTAAATTGGAGTGACGCTGGCCGCGTTCCAGCAGAATGTTCCGCTGCAGCTCGGATACATTATTAATGGCCCATTATCATGGCTAGATCGTCTTCTCTCCGCTGTAAGAGCTATAGTTGACAAGCAATGGAATAATCAATGCGGAGTGTTGGCGTGCAGACATGAGGAATATCCGCTCCCCCCTCCCAGGATTGGTGCACCCCAAAGGTAGACACATTTTTGTAGCATTTATGTACTTCCATTCTTTACCACTGGTGGTGCTGTGCTTCAAGGTGAATCTGGGATGTATGTCCACTTCCTGCCAGCAGGTGTCTCCCTTCACCATCATCTCCCTGCATTGTTCTCACTCTCCTGCACCTGGCTTCCTGTTCAGCCAGGGGCCTGAGCATTTCTCTCTGATCCTTTGCTCCTAGTCTGTGGCTCGCCACTGTCTTGCATTTGCTAGATTATAGAGGCAGAATGAAGAGACAGGTCACCAGCACTCAGTGATTTTAATAAATATGTCCTTTTTAATGGACAAGGATGTCACAATGATCAACAAAGCATGTATCTAATAAATACATTATGAATCATTGGAAGCACCATTGGCTAAAAGTTACACAATGGGTTAAACCTCAATCTCCTGGACTGAAATTGCTTCCCCACTGCACACTGAGCTTCTCCAATGTGCATTAGAATCTGCTGTCCGTCAGACAGAGCTCTCCTCATTTCCTGGCTGGAGGACCTTCACCATCATCTAGCCGAATGCTCGGCGGCATTCGGCTATTGACTCACTGCCGATCGTCCCCTATGTGAATATGGGGTGAACGGCAGCGAGCGAGCTGCCGGAGCTTCGGTTCAACCGATCCAGTTGTTGGATCGGCTGAGTCGAAGTCCTTCTGCACTTCGGCTCAGCCGTCAGCCGCGCAGAGCATGTTCGGCTGACCGCAGTGCAACCGACGTACGGCTGAAATCATCTGTACTGAGCCGGAGTGAATAGCCGAACGTAGTTCGGCTCTGTTCACTTCGGAATCGGTTAATCACTTGGTGGCCTTTGGCGGCTTTGTGAATAACCCCCTGTGTAGTGATTTAAGGGAAACGGTGCACGATGTTACCATTCTCCTCATGTCGTCTGCACCCCCCCTTGTTATTTCATGGCGTTTATTGCAGCGTAGAATCCCGGGCGCTGCCCCTGCACGGCTCCATCTGGTCCTTCTCTGCTTGGCAAGACCTCCGCATTTCACAGATATTAGAGATGATCAGTCTGTCTGTTCACATAATATGTGCAATTAATATGCTTAGGATGATTATCAAAGTTTGTGAGGCACTTCAAAGTTTTGTTTTTTTTAAAAACATAATAGCCCATCCTGACTGCTACAGAGGAAGTACCACCAAAGCAGGGGCATAACTACAGATCATGGGGCCCCATAGGAAAATTTTGATGAGGGCACCCTCGGCGACCCCTTTAAAATCGAAATCATCAACAGGTAGCAGGAGAGCTGTCCGCATACTCTCCTCCTGTACATCTGATGTCAGCTCTTTTTGATTGGAAATGTCATAGGGGGTTACAGGGCTAAAAGCAACTTCTGCAATCCTTCATGGGGCCCCCTTCTGCCCCTAGGCCCCATAGAAGCAGCATGTGCTGCTATGGCTGTTGTTACGCCCCTGCACTAAAGGCTGGGAGTTACATTGCAAAATCCTTACCATCTTGTCTTGAATTGCATTGTGATTGTAATGTCTTCCTTATATTGTAAAGCGCTGCGCAAACAGTTGTCGCTCTATAAATCCTGTATAATAATAATAATAATAATATGTAAGCTAAAGAATTTCAGCAAAACCAGAGTTTCCGTCAGACTCGAGTATTATGAGATCTTTTCCTGTCTATAATGTGAAGAATTTGAGTGTCCTGCACAGAGCCCTGACCTCAACCCTACTGAACTCCTTTAGGATGAATTGGAACACTGCGTGTGGGCTTTCTCATCCAATATCCGTACCTGGCCTCACAAAAGCTTTATTGGCTGAATGGTTTGACCAGTTTGGCAGACAAATTTGAGTAGCATGCACAAAGCCCTGGCCTCAGCTCTATTGAACAACTATGGGATGAACTGTAATGCCAGTTGTAAACCAGGTCTTCTCATCCAACATCACTGCCTTAACTAACAAAGGTTCTTTTGGCTGAATGGGCGCAAATTCTCACAGACTCACTCCAAATTCCTAGAGTGGAGACTGTTATAGCCATAAAGGGGGGGGTTTGGAATCCATTTTAATGGCTATGGTTTTGGAAAAGGATGCCCAACAAGTTTGTATAGGTTTGATGGTCAGGTGCGCCTGATGTCTCTATTGATCTGCAGTCTGGTGGAATTGGATCGGTGAGTCTTTTGGATACTTTTACGCTGATGGTTACTGAAATAAGTGTCCTTACCCTGGTGGTCAGTGAGAAGAAGACCCATCACAATGGTGGTCAATGTGCTGCCCCCATGCTTTGGGGGACAGTGGAAGCAATGCTTCCTACATTTGTAGCCATTGGGAAGAATGCCCCGTACATTGGTGATCAGTGGAAGAATGTTCCCCTTAATAGGCAACTAACATGATCATCGGTGTCAGTGGTTACTTACCTGAGGACAAGATCAAAATCCACTGGTTCCATGCCGCATGCTTCATGGAGTGGTGAAGGAATTATGCAGACATTGTCAGGCAGGAGATCAATCTGCCATGGCTCATTGTTCAAGGAATTCCTAGCAACTTCTGGAGGAACTGAAGGGTTTCACAGAAGCCTGGTGGGAAAAAAAGGCCTCAACACTGTGTTGGTCTACGGATGGCAAAGCCTATGGCTGTCACAGTCTTGCAGTGTCTTATGGGATTTGCAGTTTCACCACATCTCGAGGGCCGAAGTTTGGCTGCCCCTGCTTTAAAGAAACCCTACATAAAGTGCCGTCATTGTATCTTTCAGCTGTCTAGATTCCTCACAGCAGTGGCGGAACTACCAAGGTCGCAGTGGTCGCAATTGAGAGGACCCATCATTCACTGCCACCCATCATTTACTACCATGGACGGCATATTATTTACGGTCACAATTAACGATTTAAATGAAATACTTTGTCAATAAATCTGAGCCCACCATAGACAGTCTCAGATGGGCTGTACAGCATCTATGGTGGGCTCTGCAGGGTCACTCTCAGGAGGGTCCTGTGTCCAGCGCGTCACTAAGC